CCCCTCAAAACATCCACTTTGTACCTTTCATTCACTACGCCAAGTGTCCATAGAGTAGATAAGAGTACAGCATTAGATTACGTTTTAGCCTTTTCAAAAATATGCACGTTGAAGTCCACCCTCGCCTACTTTACACAAATGTTGCATTGAGCTCTGTCCCCGCCTACTTTAATGTATAAAAAAAATTAAGCCTTATCTCACACCCCTGATTGAGAAATCATGATGTAAATGAACACATAAAATGAATGACCAAAATTCGAAAGTTCAAGCATCTACCTGCACTTTTTGCATGAGTGTTAACTGATCGAGATCGCTCGCGAATGCTTGCATTAATTTATGTTCCATTGACAGCAAAATGTTCTTCTTCTCACGATAATCTCGAATCAACGAATGCAGTGTATCGCAGTTCGGCACCCACCCGATCAGACCACTGTTCTGACTCAACGTTACGATTGAATAGCGCTGAAATACAAAATTTTCTTTCGTGTTTTCATCACATTTTATACTGCAAATGAAGGGCAACTTCTTAAACTTTTACAAGCTGACAGATATCTCACAATTTCTGAATTTTCAGTTAATATTTTTTGGACTGAGCAATTCAAAAAGTTTACAAAATCAAACGGAATATAAGTTCTGATTGGCGATTTTGAATTTAGACATATCGTCGATTCACTGCACGAACCACACTACATCATTTTCAAAAACGTCGCATCGAAAGTTACACATTCAAAGGCTCACATACCATTTAATAAGTAAATTATTTAATGAAAAATTTTACAAGTGAATAAAATATTTCCTAACCGAAATGAAACAATACGGAAGTGATAAATCTAACTTTACGTATGTATCGTAACTGAAAACTGAAATGGAAATCGTTACTAAAACAAACTTGAATTGTTAGATTCCTACGACACGTATCTGACTCGTGCAGTAGCAAAGTGTTAACTAATCCAAACAGTTGCATCACTCGCTCGTCTTGCCGCGGATCTTCGTGTCCTTTCAGTAGAAATGCGTAGTCACGACCATCACTGCCTAACAATCACAGCAATCACTCTCAGTAGAAATAATAAAAATATTACTCATAATAATAATAACAAAATAATAATAAAAACAATAACAATAATGACAAAAATAACAATAATTAATAACAATATCAATAATAATCACACTGATAACCTTTGATAGTAACTTTTCTCGGTCTTTGTTTTGAGCTGATAACCTGTAACTTACTGCCAACAGATGCAATGGTAATCAGTGGACCCTTGGGGTCATACGTTCCCGGTACAGCCAATTCAAGATTTTGTGCTTTCATTAGTCTGAAATTCATTGTCATTATTCCTTGATTCCTTTCTTGAAAAGTCAGTCAAAAACAATAAATAATACCAAATAACAACAAAAATCATCGATGCTAACTATCAACCTTTCTTTAATATTCGAAATCAATTGATAAAAACTGAGAGGAAGCATTTGTAAAAGCAAACAATATCATCAATATGATAACAAAAATAATAATGAAAGTAATAACATTAACAATACAACAACAACAATAAGCAATATAAACCATACTTGGGCGACACATAATTCAAATCCAATGAAGTGAGTTGTCGCAACTGATTCGATATTTTACGAAAGACGATATAGTACAAATCCCACGCCTGGTTCAATTCCTTCAGATTCTGTGAACGCAGATATCCGCGGCACGCATTCCACGCTTCTTTCAGTTCATTATCGTATGTCTTCAATAATAATAAGTCATAATGAACACAACTCAAACTCTTAA